ATCATATTACTTTTTATATTCTACTTCATTTTACTTTTATTTTTCTCCTTATTTATATAGTTTATTTTTCACTTTAATACTATCATTTTTAATCACATCCTGTATTCTTCCTGTATTTCCAAACAATAAAAACAAACCATCATCACTTTAATTTCAAAGAAAGTTGTCTGAAGTCACAAATTGTCAGACACTAGACCCATATCTCTCATTGACTTCACTAGGAAAGTGTTTACCAGATTGGTCAACAAAAAATTAACCAAAATCCTCAAAAAAAATAACATCCTATCTGAATTCAACTATGCTGGCCTTCTTGAACAAAGCACTATAGAGCCACTAGCAATCGTTAACTCAGCTCTTCAAGTAGCAAATGCCAATAACAAAAAGTTTTAATTTGTATCTCTTAACATAGCCAAAGCATTTGATTCAGCCCCTATTCCAACAATCCAAAAATCCTTGAAAAGAATCAATTGTCCTAGACAAGTCATCAATCTTCTCATTAATATTTTAATCAATAGAGAGGTTTCTATCAATTCACCATTTGGTCCAATCAACTCATTTGTCATCAATAATGGAGTAAAACAAGGTGAAGTGCTATCTCCAATTACATGGATTATTTTCTATGATCCACTAGTCACCAAACCATCTCAATACTGTCCAGTTCAGAGTTATTACATTTTCAATACTCTAGCATATATGGATGATCTCACTTTCATCGCAGACTCCAGACAGAAGTTGGAAAAGCTTCTTACAATAATCAATCAGTTCTTCACAATAAACAGCATCATGTGCAACAAGAATAAAACCAAGATCATCAACAATATCAAAGTCAAACATGACTCTCCAGACTTCATCAGGTTTGACAATTATCAGATTCAAATTCTTAAACCATATGAAAGTATCAAATACCTTGGAACTTTAATCTCACTAAAAAACCCGCACAGATCCAATAGAAAAACATTTATTCAATCAGCATTACAAATCATTGAGAAACTTTTTAAGCACAAGTGGAAAGGAGAAATCAAGCAACAAATTAATGATTGGATTGTTATGAGAAAATTCGAATACTTCTTACTTTCTTCTTTTCTCAATAAGTCAAAATCAACAAGCTGATCAAAACAGCTTATAGAACTTCCTTCAAGTGCTTCAATACAATCTTAACAAGCCATGGTGGCCTCAACCTGGCAGTATTAGAAGAAAAACAAAAGACTACATTAATAGACAACCTAATTTCTAAACTCTCTATTCCCACTATTAAAAAATACATGTTATAAGAAATTCAATCCATCCAAACAAAAGAAGCAATTTGGTTTTGCCCTATTTACAACCCAGAGAAGTTTAATCAAGACAGCTGGATCCTCTATGCTGCGAAATCGGTTAAAGACCTTAAAATTCAAATCTGTTTTGCAGAATGTCTATTTCATATTAACAATGCTGAAAACTCGATTGGTCTCTTGTTCTCTCCAGCTCAAAAAGATAACAATTAGCACAACAAATGCTCTCAATATAAAATTCATTAATCAACTACTAAAATTCCAAAGCTTCATCAAATTCATATGGTCACAGCTTGCCATTTACATAGGCATAATTTGTTCTGATCCAGAGCCTAACTGGTTCAAAACATTCACAAATATCAGAAATCTAAGAGGATCTCATGGTCCAATATCCAATCCCAAGTCAATATTTTGGCTTATTTATAATACCAATACAATAGCAAAAACTCACAAAAGATATCGAGCAATACAAGAAAATACTCCACTTAAAGGGAAGCACTTTACAATAAATACCAACAACATCTTGATTAGATGTTCAGGCTGTTCGGTTGATTTACCCTCTTAAGGATTCTGTTGGTTAGAGTTCACAAGTACAGTGGTCTCAACATTATAGGTTCAAACTAATCCTTTCAGTAATTAAAGATATTGTCTACTTAGTATGATAGATGAAATCTCTATCTTACTACAGAACAATAAACTTATTTTACAAGAAGTTAACATTTCCACCACTCCCTTTTTACAGACTCTTTCACAAGAACTTAACTTACAGCAGTATACTTATATACAGTTTCACAAAAATAATTTAATTATAAATGATACCAAAGTTGAACTACTAAATCCCTGCTTATCACTAGGCAACATTCTACTTGCAATATTCAAAATCATTCAATAGAATCAGCAGTACAACATCATTAAAATTAGAAGTAACAAAAAAATTCTTCAACCAATTTCCGAATATCCTAGAAGAATGGTAAAAATCAACTTTTCAACACTAATCCAAAGAATAGTTCATCAAATACAACAAAAATCAATACAGATAATATATACCAAGCCTAAATCCAAATTATCGTCAACCAGATCCTTTCAGTAGAACAATCCTCTATCACACTTTTCAAAAAATCTACTAATTAACAACACATACCTTGGCAGTAGTGTTAGGTGGTGCAAAAAAATTTTTAGTATTACCAATGACTATATGATATGTGAAAGTTCTTCTGTCACTTAAACTTTTAAATGGGATCATATTCCACATGGTTTAAAAGTCATCATCAAATCTAACAAGGATATCAAAAAACTATATAATAATAGCTACAGCAACATAATCGTATTCAGAATCAAACTACTTTCAGGCACCCTACTCACTTGCAAAACCCTTCATCAGCTATATCCTAATTAGTACCCAGATACTTGGTGCCCAAGATGTGAACTCCATATTGAAGACATTCATTACATCTTCAAATGTCTTGAAATCTTCATTGAAACTAATCAAATAATTAAAAATATTAACCAAATTCTCTATCCAAACAGCAACCAAACATCAATCTCACCTATATGGCAAGTAGTTGAACTATCTTGCAGCTTTACAGATAAAATATTTTCTTTAACAGACTTCTCCAATTGGGTTAAGGCAACTAATGAAGCTATAACCTAGTTATATAACCTTATTTGGAAACCATGCTGCTCCATAGCCAATATGTCACCATCTACTAGAATTAAATGAAACTTAATAAACCTTTCATACCATCTTACTCTTCTAAACCATTCAACAACCATGACTCCCAAGCCAAAACCCAACCAACCATTACCTCTCTTGAAGAAATTATAATCGACCTACCTAATATAGTTACTAATATGTTTATCCAATGTAAATATAATTATCCTAAATGTATTCAAAAATTAATATCCTCATTACTCAACACCTTTTTTCTTAATATTAAGTAGATATTCATAGCTGCTCGGTACCATTTGACAAGATATATTGTTTAAAATTTTCTTTTCAATATTAGTCAAATGGTTACTGTAGGCAAGCTAGCATTTAACTCATTGTACTTGCATATGAGAGATGTTGTTTCTTTTACAATGTATACCTTGACATATACAAATCAAATAAAGAAATGATATTTACCTACAAAAAAAAAAAAAAAATACTTCTCTGTTTACTGATATAGCTTGGAATCAGAATCTCTATCAATCTTACAAAAATTCATCAATAAAATCTCATAGGCACTCTTGTCAATCCTCAAATTCCAATTCAAAATCAAAAGATATAACTATGGACTTTCCATCTATTATCACAGATGAATTTATAAATAATAACTTCAATTTATTATCATGTTTAAAAAATTTAATCTCTAATCTTAACCAACTTATTACTAATAATTTTGAGTAGATATTCATAACTGCTTGGTACCTTCTATAATATGTAATGGTTTTAATATTTATTTTTCTTTATTGCATAGTAATTTAATGTAGGCAAGCTAGCATTAAACTTTTTAACTCAATATGTTATATAAGAGATGTTGTTACTTTTGTCATGTAGAAAATCTGAATTTTTTATAATTAATAAAGTAAAAATGTTTACCTACAAAAAAAAATTATAAAACTATTTTAAAGTTTTATCAATTTATATTTAATTAATTTATATATTATTGATAATTTTTTTAATTAATTGAAAAATTAAGAATTTTAAATTGCTATCTCTTTTTAATTATAATTTAATAATGTTATTTTAATATATTTTAAAAAATTTTTATATATTTCTATTCTTTATTTCATTAAATATATAAACATATATTTTTTGTTTTAATTTTAGGTGCAAAAAAATTATCTATTAATGAGTCTCAATACACCTATAATATATTGTATACAGTATATTAATACTGCGTAGTAAATTCAACTAATCCAATAAATAAAATTTACAGGTTTTTAAAAATTTTTATTTTTTACTACGGTCGATATTCTTTACGTGACTAGAATTTTGATGTTACGCAAATCTATTTTCCAAACATTAACACAAGTAAAAATTAGCTGCATATTTGCGTAACATGCGTAAAAATCAGACACGTAAATTTTTTTTTAAATTTTATCGTTATAAGGTTTCCGTCAGAAAATCTGCTAGGAGTCTAGGAACATGCTTGATAAAACTGACATTCGCGTGGTGGTGGCAGTAGGTAAACGCATATTTTGAACTCTCGAACTATGTTTTATGAAAGTTTAACTTATACATATCAAAAAATTCCTTTAGACTTTGGGACTACGTATTCTGTAAGTTATTAGAATATTTTTATATGGTTCAGTAAGGACAATTATATTTCCTCATATCTTTCTCTACTTATCCAGGGATTCGCGTATTCAAATAATTCGAATCCTGAAATTATTACAAACAATGAATGGTAATTGTTTTTAGATCAATAGAATTAAAAGGGAATGTTGCCTAATAAAATAAACTTTATTGTTAAAGGCCTGGAAAAATCGGACAATATAAAACAAATACAGTACTGCAGTACAATGGTTCTGGAAAACACGTTGAAGCCTGGGGTTATCCTGCTTTGGCAAAACCACCATCAGCCAGCATAAATAAAGACTCGAAGCCGGTCGAATTGTTTAAATTACATTTAGGCGATATTCCGGAAGAAGAAAAACCTCCTTTACCTGAAGGATTAACTTATAAGGAGGCAATATCTGATTATTTACATGAACTCGGTGTGTAAACTCAACGTTTTGATGTGGATTCGGCTGTGATATTACCTGTTGATCACAGTGTGCTAACTTTAACCCTTATTTTTATAAGGCAAGGTAAGATTTTCATAAAATATTATTAGTGAGACATGCGTGACAATTTGTTAATCATTACCTTTTAATATTGTTTCTCAATTGTAAGTTAATTAAAGATACATTGAATCTTCGATGGCCAGGCCTCAATTTTATGAAGCACGTGCTAATAATTATGACAGTTCCCGCCGAGTATAATGATCAAGCAAAAAGAATAATGAGAGAGTGCGCATTTACTGCCAAGTTAATTGATAAGAAGAATTCATCTAATTTACGAATTATCACCGAACGTAAATAATTGATGGATCGATTTATTAAAATTATTTTGCTATATTTACTAACACAAATTAATTTTTTAGCGGAGGCAGCGGCTATTTATTGTATGAAATATTTTAAAAATGAGGTTGCAAATATCATTCGAAGTAAGCATCCGTTCACTAGGAAAATATCATTGTTTCGCAAAATCAACCATTTTCTTTTTACTCTATTTAGAAAAATTTCTCATATGCGATATTGGTGGAGGCACTGTTGATTTGACTGTTCGTAAGCTAATAGGCGGAGATCGTCTTAGTGAACTTACTGAATGCACTGGAGACTACTGTGGAGGTTCATATGTAGACCAAGAATTCATTAAGTACGTTGGAAGAAAAGTCGGTGAAACAGCAATCTCTAAATTTAAAGCGAGCCATTATGGACAGTTACAAAATCTGGTCCAAGAGTTTTGTCGAAATGTTAAACTAACATTCACTGGAGTCCTTAATGATTACAAGAATATTGAAATAGACCTAGAGGAAATTTGTCCGGCTTTGAAACAATATGTGGAGGGTATAAAGAGAACACAGATGGAAAAGGATGAGTGGATCATCGAGCTAGATTTCGAGTCGGTCAAATCGATGTTTGATCCTATAATTGGTAAAATAATAAGACTGATACGCGCCCAACTTAATGAATCGGGATCTTTGCCAGCAATGTTTTTAGTCGGAGGATTTAGCGAATCAAAATATCTTCAATCTAGATTAAAAGAGGAATTTAGTAAAGCTTTTAGGCATATTTCAGTTCCTCCACAGCCAATCACCGCAGTTCTACGAGGAGCCGTTGAATACGGACTTAACATTCAAATTGTTAAGAATCGTGTACTAAAATATACCTACGGAGTGAAGTCTTCATACAACGCGAGGGTATTTAATTCTTTTTGCAGGATGGCTACGAGAGGGACCAAAGTTGGAATTGATCAGACCTATACGCATACATTTACGCCAACCAACCCAAATGATATTCGTATAAAATTCGACATTTATTATACTAAAGAATATGATGGAGAGTATACTACGGACGAAGGAATGAATCTTCTTGGCACTTTTACTATTGATTGTCCAGATCCACATCTTGGTCTTAAACGACCAATCGATTTTTCGTTGTGCTTCGGTGAGGCAGAAATTGTTGCTACTGCAGTTAATAGAACTAACGGAACAAGTTATGATTGTGCATTAGAATTGTATTTTACTTAATTTGCAGTATATTTGCATGTATATTATTTATTTCGTTTATTGTGTATTAGTGTATGTCTTGGTTTTCATAAGTTGTAAAAATGATTATTTCATGTATCAATTATTATTTTTCGCCTTTTTTTATGCTTTATAAATCTTTAAATTTTGTATTTCTAAATTATTATAAATACCAATAATAACAATTTCATAATATTTCTTGATTTCTTTATTATTTATTATTTATTATTATTCATTATTATTTTTATTTTTTATTAAATACTGTGTAAATATACAATATTGGCAATAAAAACTCAAATTTTCTCATTTGTAAAAAATTATATTATAAAAAAATTTTTTTATTAAATTAATATTAATGGAATTATATATTATTTTATTTAAAATTATTTTTTTTAATTGATTTTTTTATTAAGTTCAAATATTTAAAAGTTTATAACATTAAAATTTTATAAAAATTTTTATAACTTTATCCCTTAATCTGTAAACATTTCCAGGCAAATTTGCTTGGATAATTAATAAAAATATATTTATGATTTATTTTTTTTAATATTATTTGAAAATATGAATTATATTATAGCAATATTTATAAGAAAAAAATTTTAAGTACTTATAAAATAAAAAAATATATTGATTTTTTAAAAAAATTTTTTATTTATCTTTGACAAATATCGATTTTAAACAAAGTTTTTAATACAATATAATTTATATAAAAGATAATAATTTTATTATTGTATATTTTATAATCTATTTGTAAAAATTTGAACTTGTATTATAAATAAAAAAAATTTTTATTACTGATAAAATTATAAAAAAACTTATAGAAAAATTTTATAGTGGAAATTTATAAATAAAAATTTTGAATCTTTATTATTTAAAAGTTTATTAAAAATTTGTTAATAAAATTATAAAATATGTTCTTATAAATATTTTTTATAAAATAAGTATATTCCATATTATTAATAAATTACCTCAATATATTTATATAAAGTATTCTTTAAAATAAATTAGTTTAGATAAATATATCTCAAAAATAATTGTTTTATAACATTTAAACATATTCATTAAATTATTAAAAAAATATAAAATCAAATGGATTTTGCTTTAAATTTTATTAATTAAAATATTTATATTCATAATTCAAGAATTAAGCTTATTATATTCATCTCTCTTCTTATCAAAAGATAAAGTTGCTATTGTTATAAAAAAAATTATTTATTAACTTGCTACCTATAACATTGCTATTTTTTAAAAAATATATACATATATATTAAAGTGTAATTAAAAAAAAAAAAATAAAATTTATTATATTATTAGTCAATTCTCTTTTCTGTAATTTTTTTAATTTTCAAGTAAAAATAATATTTTATAATTTCTATTGTATTGGTGAGATATAATTTAAGATATTTGATACAATGGCATTTATCTTTTTGAGTTTTGTTAATATAAAGTTTGTTACTTTGAGAGTTAATAAGTTTGAGTTTATTGTTTTAAAGATAAAAAAGTTGAAGTTTATTGTCTTAAAAAATATCTAGATTGTTAGAATTTAGATTATTTTCTTGAAAATTGTCTTGATCAACTTTATTTTCTTAAAGATTGTCTTAATTAAAATTATTTTCTTGAAGAACATCTCGATTTTTTTTATTGTCTTGATTGAGACTAATTTTTATTATGTCTATACTATAATTATTCTTCTAAGTGTTGTTGAAATTCTAATTGTTTAATTGAGCATTGGTGAAAAGAGAATTAAAGTTTTAATAATTACTATTGATTTCTAAGGAAATATCAATTTCAACTACTTATTATCAAAAAGATATTTTATATACTTACAATGCTTTTTGTTAAATCTGAACAATCACTATTACTATAAACATAAATAGATTAGTATTAATTAACAATATTTTATTATACATTAGTAATAAATCAAGTTTAAAAAATAAAAGAAACATTATAAAAAGATGAAATATTTTTGTTAGATATTATTTTTTTTAAATATTTTTATCTAAAATTTAATTTATTTTTATAATTAATAAATATAATAATATAAAAATTTATAAAAAATTAATGATTAAACAAAAGTATTTATATTCAATTTAGTCACTTTATTTATTTACATTATAAATCAATATTAATAATTATATTATTTATTGACTTATGTAACTATTTTTTTGTATATAACAATAATTGTAATATTATGATTTTATTGATATATAATAATTATAATTGTCAATATAATTTTGATACTTATCTATTTTAAAAAATATATATATTTAATTATAAAAAATATATTAAAAATATATTGGTTATACAAATATTATAATTAAGAGTTTTT